TCTCTTCTCTTCTCTTCTCTTCTCTTCTCTTCTCTTCTCTTCTCTTCTCTTCCCTCACGATTATACCTGCTTACCCTATGCCCTTAATATCTCTCATCTCTTTTCTTTGCAATTCGTTTTCCTTTTATTTCCCTTCCTCCAGAATATATTATACTGCCAAATTAAAAAAAGAGGGATAAAAGAGAAAAGACAAATGCTCTAAAATTAAAAACATTATTAAAAACAGTTTAACAAACAACGGTTTTATCAATCTGTAAACATACACAGTTATAATATATTTTCTTATAACGAATGAAAAAAATTCGAATTGTAACAATATTTTCTTTTTGCAAATAGTTTTATCAAAATAATTTCTGTAATAGCAAATATAATCCCAGCAAAAGTTCGTTACTTTTATATTTATATCTTATAAAATTTGCTTTTGAGTGCAAATTCTCGATTTTGATTTTATCAAAAATTGGTAGCAATACTGTTCATCTATTATATCATTTATAAAACTATTCTTCGTTATATGATTTAAAAACTCCTATTCCAGTTTTTTATTTTATTTATTTATTTCTTGAAGCTTTCCTGGTCTCGTTGACCTCACTGCGCATGTGCATTTAGCTATTGGAAAAGTTAGCATAGTCACTGAAAGAATCGAGGTATTTCTGAATGATTTGGTAGCAGAAGATGTACTGGGTCTGAAAAGTCAAAGAAGAAAATTATTAGCGGCAAAATTGTTTAGCTTAAATATATGTATGCTCTTATTTTAGAATTCTAAATATTTCAGGTCACGCCGACGCAATCTCGTAGCCGGTCCAGAACCTTTATTTCTTACTGCGCAAGCTCGACGAAATTAATATTCGAAAGAAATGTAATGTGGGTACATGATGAGGCAAATATCGCGCGCAATTTCTTACTTTAGTAGGAGCGTCGCAAATACCAACGTACTTTTCCTATTATTTATTTGTCACTCTCGTCTTTTACGCGCARTCAATAGTAAATTATCCTTAATGTTCAATCTGCGCGCAAAAATATAATTGGTTGGAATGAGTCAGGTCTTTGATTGAGTTCTGGTTTCAGTATTTGTTTAGGCTGTCAGTTACTGCGCACAGTTCATACGCTATCTTACCAGTGATTCAACAGCTCCTGGACGGTTTGAACGCATACATTTGACCACTTGGAACACATCGATGACTTGCTCTTGCTTCATTCTCTCCAAAATAGAAGATATTGTACAGAACGTCCCACTTCGACCAACACCATTACTGGAAGAAAAAAAAGACACTTGAGTAAAGAACTTATTTTAGCAGCATTAATTTCTAGGGAAATAGGGTAATTTGGCGTTAGACGAGTCTCACCGCTGACCATGCAAAACGAAAACAAGGAGGTCTGGACAATGTTCTTGGTGAAATTTTTAAAATATGGTTTACAGAAATGCTATTTCCTGCGTTCCGGGACAAAAGAGCAAAAATCGGCCTTCTCAAACTGGGGGGGGGGGGAGGGGGAGGCGGTGCGCAGTCCATCATATTGCCCCCCTTAAATCCGACCCTGAAATACAGTAACGATAGGTACAGAAATTTTCGAGGATCTGATCTGATGGCACCCACCCAGTGTAAGACACCAAAAGATCCTAACCTGCATTGTACGACGACTGGTGTAGCGTTGCTGGACTGTCTTTGGGATTGTTCAACTTCGTTTAGCAAGTCTAACACAGTTTGAGGATTGGCAGGAATACACTTGTCGGCCCATTTCAAGTGCTGCAGATGTTGAACACGAATACTCGACTAAAATAGAAATAAAAGAAAACCAAACCTTAAAAGCTGCTTAACCTCGGAAAACATTGTTTCTTATTATTTTTCCTTGGTGCACAAAAGGGTAAGAAAAAAATAAAAATGTTAACAAGAATTCAACACCTGCGCATGCGCAATGCTGTAGTAAATGTAAAATCATTCGTCGCCTATTGCGCATGAGCACTGATTGCAAAGTGTAATTAGCGCGCTACAGGTTTCACTACAATGATGTCTGGTGCAGTGAAGAAAAGATATCTGTTTTACAAGCAAAATATTTGGAATGCATAGAAACGTTTTACTTTCTTGCTGTAGGATTAGACACACACATGTCTCAACTTCATATGTACTGAATTTGATTTATTCATCAAAAGGTTTCACAGGTACCCGATTCACAGTAAAATCCTAAAACAAAGAGCATTACATTACGATGGTACAATACTGCAAGCAAGYAATGGCAAAGAACTTACCAATTGATGAACACACTGCACGAGAACATAACACATGAAGCTGATGATCACATTAACACTAACACTACAAATGACAACGTGCACACGACGTGACGCGACAGCGACATTAACTGGTTAGCGGACTCACACTGCACAAAACGGCGGGAAAACAGGAATTCTATGCTGTTGAGCTAGTGGCCTCAACACTTGCAGTTAAACATATAACAGAAAATGACGCGGCGAGGTTGAGAAAAAACGGACAGTAAACAATTTGCCATTGTTTCCACTGTGTTGTTCCTGGATCTAAATGAAGTAATCTTTGAATGGACTTACCGACTTATAAGTCACTTTGAACCGCCTTGAAACAAGTTCGCCGATGTCTTGTGAACTGAGTAACTCTACTGTGACATTACCGTATGTCTCTGCTTCTGTTTGCGGCCAGTATTGTGGAAATTGCTGTCAACGTAACAAAACTGCAGTAAAGATGAGAGTATGTGGACCGCGTGGCACTAATGAAATAGTAGAAGATAATATAGGTAAGTTGTAGTGCTTGGGAACGAGGTTATTCCGGGCGAAAGCCCTTGGAATTAAATTCGGAAAAATTAATTTCCGACCTCGCTGGGATTCGAACCCACGACCTTCGGAATTGTACTACTGAGCTAGACAAATCGCACATAGATTTCCATTGACTATCCTCTTATTAATCATAGATGACATCTTAAAATGTTCAAAACTCAAGTGGAACCACGAGCGCAGCTAGATCCGTGCGCCAGCGATTTGTCATTCTATGTGTCTGTCCTCTTATTGATCAGAGCTGTCAGTTGCAGCACTTCGGAATGCAGCTCAATTTGGAGGACAAAATAATAGTTTTCCAATTCTCTTGAGATTAAATTTCTTTTGTTTTGTCCTCTCCAAATTGAGCTGCTTTGACGACACAGATTCGTAGAATCCACAATGTAATATCTTTCCAGATTCCATTAAATGTGGATGTAAAATTTGTTGGCAGRTTGCTTCTTATCATGTCCTCCTGTTCATTTTGTCACGTTTTTAAGACGTACCTCATTTTCTTCTTCGAGTGTGTTAAGCATCACGATCGTTTTGATGTCATAATTCACAACCATGATCCAGAAATCTTCGATGGTGTTCTGTAATGGAGCTTGTGTCAAGATGAAGGCGTTGCGCTCTCTGTAGGCCTATATAGTATACCATGTAATTAGATAATAACAATAATAAATATAAAAAGATGCCTGAGTTGAAATAAAGGGGGGGATTGGGAAACGGCAAGGAATTTTCAAGAAGGTTTCTCTGAGTCAGAGGCCGATAGAATAAAGAAAAAAATTTAAAGTAACTCGTGACCTTTTCGTGTTTCACAACGAGATGACCTTGCAATAAGTTATTGTTCTTGATCGAAAAATACAGTCTGCTGGAGCATGTTAACGGTACCTGCGTATTGTGCACTTAAAGCCGTACAAAATATGCACTAATCGTAACGAAAACAGCCTGTACTCACGTGGTTGAAAGATGCGTTAATGTAGACCGAGTCTGTTTCGGTAGCATCTTCTTTTGTAAGAAGAACTCTGCAGCTATTCACTAAACAATCGTAAAAGAATGGGGTTAAGGTTGCTGTAAACACTGATGAACGATAGGCCTGTGTGTTTGCGCTAAATAGGGGTTTTAATACTCACAAGCTATGACGTCAGGGTATCGATTTTTCGACGCGTTCTCCGCCGCTTGACCGATGTCACACTCGTCTTCTACATAATCAGCTGTGACCAGGTTTAGACGCTGTACACACAATGATATAGATATCTATCAGGTGCATTCCAACTCAAATTGAAGCGAAATATCAAAGAAAGAAAGAAAGAAAGAAAAGTATAGGAAGAGATGGAAAAAGAAAATTTGCAAGGAAAGGAGAGAGGAATCAATGACAATTCACGTGGTTCTATTCATAATTCTTTTCATGTTACTTTAAGACACAATGATTACAAAATAAAACAGGTTTTTCGTTTAATTCGGAAGGCAAACCTCAAATTCTGCAGCAAAACCACTGATTTGTTTCTGTGGGTTGATCGTGGACAGTTTCTTCATGACATTCTGCAGGTTGTGTGCTTGGATCTCCGTGTTGCCACATGTTAGTACTTCAAGTACAGCCAAATGGATAAACACGTACTGCTCCTAGTCACGAAATATAGAGAAAATGTTAAAAATTATTAGATGCATTTGGATGTGTTTTATAGGTAGAGAGCAGCATTTAAGCCATGAAACAATCTAAGAGTAAATAATGTATTATAGCGCAACGAAATCAGTATCCTTACATCAGTTTGAACCATATATGGCCGAGCTTTTCTTATCTTCGCCACATAGTTACAGATTTCGATATTCCGCAACTTCTTGGTTCGATCAAGCATGGCGTCGATAACGATGTATGCACCTGTCCGACCAACACCAGCACTAAAACAATAAAAAACAAACATACGAACATTATAAATATGGCAGACAAGTCTTTCAGCTGATCTAAAATAGTGACGTATAAATGAAGTCACTGCAAAACTGAGGTGTCTTTGACCACCAAAAAATAATAACGGATAATAATTTTTGTACCTGCAATGAACCAGCACCGGGCCAGCATTCTGAGGATTCAATGCTTTGACTTTTCTTCTTAGACCAAGAACGGCAGTTGCATAATGTGGTACTCCTTTGTCAGGCCACACGGTGAACTGGAAGTGTAAGATATTGCGCTGCTCTTGGCTGTTGGCCTGTTTTATCAAAGACAAATAATTAAGGCGTACAATACTATAAGGTACGGAAATACGGACAATCAGGCCTTGAAATTTGTTGCACAACATAGTTGTATTTATTATATTATATTTATTATATAATTACCAATGAGATATCTATTTTTCTCTAATTCGAAAAATTGAAAAATAACACCACTGCGATGGCTATTCAAAAATACACGGAAAGAATTGCCTGAAAAAGGCAAAACATACTTCATTGATATTTATATAATAAACAGAATATTACATGGGCGCTTGGAGATACGAAATTCATCTTCTCGTGTTGAAAATCTCTCACTCGTTCGCTACGCTCACTCGTGAGAGATCTTCTCAACACTCGAAGATAAATCTCCGCGCGCCCATGTAATATCCTCTCTTTATTTTTGCTGCGAAGAGTAGAAAAGAACTTTCGCTCAGCACCTTACAATGCACCAATGTGTTGCTGCACGAACAGCTGCACGACTTTTTGGCCGTATCACCTCACCTTTAAGATATGTTTAAGGCATCAGCTTTGATGATTGTTTTAGAAGAGCTAAAAAGAATCGTGAATTCATGACTTGCCTTTGTTAGCAAGAACGTACGAATGATGTAATCTGGGAACACTTCAGTCTTGTGGTGATTGACAGTTATTTCTCGGTACGTCTCCTTGTTTTCTGGCCAATATTCATGGCACTTTGTCTGCGTAAGACAACAGTAATAGAACCAATCACCTTAGGCGTAATATCTTCCCATTTCAGACCACGTTTCATTCTCTTGAGAATAAGATTCTTTGTTTGAATTGTATCCAGATCCATGTGTCTTCTTATTCGCAACCATTAAACAAAGAAATTATACTCTAGGGAATGACACATGGTCTTGAGAATAAGATTCTTTGTTCGAGTTGTATCCATATTCACTTGTCTCCTCATGCGCAAACATTAAACAAAGAAATTATACTCTAGGGAAGGACACGTGGTCTGAAATGGGGAAACTGAATGAATCTATAATCAACTTAATGTTAGAGTGTTTCATCTTTAGCGTTAACAGTGGATAAGTAATTAAAGATCTTTCCTTTACCTTGCCACCTTCGACTAGGTTGGTCAACATGACTATAGTACAGGTATTTTGCTCCCAAATCATCTGCCAGAAGTCAGGGAATGTCCGTGGTACTGGTCCTAGAAAAGCACGCACAGAGATTACCAAAATCTTTAATATAATATTCTTTGGTCGATCAACATATGAATGAAATATGCTGTACTTTCTCTTGATGTAAGCTAAAGAACTTAATAAAGCTGAAATCTTAGTACGAATGGTAGAAAAAGGAAGAGGACGAGAAGGGAGAAGAAGAAGGAGAATGAGCAGGTCGAATGAGAAGGAACGGGAGAAAGAGAACGAGATCGAGAACGAGGAGAAGAATGAGATGTTTCACACGCAGAACAGGTAACATACCTTGAGAAGCAATGTAAACCTTCGGAGTTCCATCAAAACCCTAAGAAAACCAGCAGAAATAAATTTAAAATAATATAATAGTAAGAATAAACTATCTTACTTTATTCATTGAGCTATATACTTACATCCATATACGAGGCGTTTATGTAGTCAGAATTCTCGTCACCTGTGCGCTCAATAACCACACGAGAATGGTTGTCTAAAATCATTACAAAAAATCTCCATTAAAGTTAATATTCCCCTACAAGAACGAAGAATGATAATCTCTTGATACAAATCAAGTAATTCCAATCAAATGCCAAATCTGCTGCTGCCATCATCCTTCATGTTTGACTACTCGTGCTACTTACATGTAACAATGTTTCCATAACGGTTTTTCTTTTTGTTCTCGGGATTCTTAGCCACGCTTGTTGAGAAAAGATGTGCATTTGGCAAGTGCTGTTGATATAGCAAAGCAAACAAACCCAGTTAAGCTCGAGACTTTTACTTCCTTCAAATTGCCGTATTTTTAGAGGTAAGGGCTATTTTCTGTTCACCTGACGGCAACAATGTTGGATGATAGAAGGAATATAAATAATTTTTTTTTGTAAAATATTTTTTGCTCTGTAGTCAAACTTGGCTCGATGATACAAAATGGCGCAGCCATATTGAATGATAAGAAAAATAAAAATAGTTTTGCATGCGAAAAAAGAAATGTTATAGTGTTCTCTCATCCAACATGGCTTCAAAACCACCATGATCATGCAACAATGGAAGCCATGTTGAATAACAGTACTGAACCATGCATCAACGTGTCTCCAATATTTGTCCCTTAACATGGCTGTCGAGACATGATATATATGTTATTTACCGGCCAGGAGGTCCGGATAGGGAAAAACTGTGCCCAAGGTCTTGAATATACGGACCGAGGCCGTTTTCAAGACCGATGGCACAGTTTTTTCCTATTCGGACCGACTATAGGACGGTAAATAACTTATTTATTTTATACCCGTATTTTTTCTTACTTGTTTTTGTAATCGTTTTGTTTTGTTGTTTAGCGGCAAAGGATACCGGACCGCGAGCGCGGGCAGATACTGACATAATACCGCCCGCTCAAACAGCCAATCAGAAAGAACGATTTTTTTTAGGATACCGGACCGGAAAAAAATAAACTCCTTTATTTGAGTGTAAGTGAGTGTATGTAGAGTAAGAAAATAGTTGCAGACCTTAAATTCTTCCTTAATCCGTGCGTAGTCTGTGGACTTGGCGGTCTTGACATACTCAGCAAATTGTCGTACTGGGATTGGTTTGGCTGCGTTATCCCATGTTTGATCATAGATCTCTTCGTTAGCTGACTCTGGAAGAAAATAATACTGAGTTTCAATATATAATATGTACAGTATTTTAACGTTTGAAAACACTGACTGCARTGAATCGTCCTTTCTCACGCGTTGGCCATCRTTATTTCTTCCAACACGGTAAAACCAAGAATAAAGTATTTTATACCTGTGTGTAGTACATTGACATATTTGTTTGGCTCTTCTTGGCTATCGATAGTGCCTACACTTTCTCTTTCTTGTTGTTCATTGTCTTCGATGTCATCCAGCGCCATATCACTTTCGCGATAATCGTCTTTTGCTTTCCCGTGCTTACTGGAAAAGAATGAATTAGACCAATCAAGATGTGATGCCAGGAGAAATACAACATGAAGTGAAAGGGTATATGGCACAGTGGAATCAAATTTTGTATATGTATTTCCTATACAACAACAACGATCATCGAGATTGGGATATTTCCAATAGCTGCAGGCTTTGCACCATCACGTGATGTCAGCCACGACAAGAGGCAAGAACAATGGAACCTGGTCTAACTGACTTTAATTTACATAAGAAAGAATTCCGTATCTCAGGGGAAAAAGACTATTGTTGTGCCTCAGTCTTGTCATGGCTCTCATCACGTCGTGGCAAAAAGCCTCTCTCGAGACTGTTTTGTCAACCTTACCGTCTGTATAAGAAAAAGCCCAGCGCGACGCATGCAAGAAGAACGAGAAAGCCAAACGCTCCACCAATAGCTTGTCCTGGTACCGGGCTGCTCACTGGTTCTTCCCCTTTGCTTTCTGCACGTGATTAAAAGAAATGACACAAGGTTCTATTGAGGGTTTTCAATGTGATGTCAAATTTAGCCTACCAATATACATTTCTTTGTGCGATCTTCACGAACATTTACAGTTTTGCTAATATCTCTATGACAATTTTGAATATCAACTCGTAAGAAAAAACCTTTATAAAGTAAAAGAATAGGCTTCTCGTAGCCAAGGAATACAGAGAAGGTTCGGAAAGTTTGGCATGATAATCAAAGCTCTTGCCTCAAAAAGAAAACATTAAAACTAAACTAGTGAAGTTTATCCTACCTGCTTTTAGATGTATGGTAGCAATTTTTGCAGCTTTGCCGATATAGACTTTCTGGAAAATTAAATAAATAGGATTGATATTGCTATTGATGTTGTCAAAGCAAAGGATTCGAGCAAAAAATGCCGGATAAAATTAAGTAGGTATGCTGTGTTAATAGTAGGTAGATCATGCACTGAAGTTCATCCAGGTGTTCATCTGCTACCAATGTAAGCAGACGAGGCTTTATCATCTCCTTTCCTTATAAATTATCAGTGCTCCTTTTGGTGAGAGAGTATTTTTTTATAGCTTAGAAAAACAATTACAGCCATTAAATACCATATATATTGTAGGATAAAGACCGGTTTATCAGATCAGACCTATCAATTCACAAGCTCTTACGTCATAGTGAAATAGGGYAAATGCAATTATTACCTTACATTACCTTATTATCGACAGTAACAGCTCTTTCTGCTATAKTGTAAGTTTCTCCCTTCTTCAGAGGCACGTTTCGGTATCCCCCATACACTTTATCGTCACCAACAGTAAACTGTTTAGGGATTGACTTGAAATCGTCAACTTTTATCTTAGCAGCGATGTAATATTCTTGTTTCTTTTCTATAGCGTCTTCGTAGTTATGTATGTCATCTGGTAGGGTATCAACGTTTGTGCTTTTTCCTCTAACGACGATCACGTGATATGAGCTGTGAAACGACGATATATAAATGAGATAAAGAATCATATAGTAAAGCATAGAGAACTCAAGCTAGACCAGAGTGCACCAGGATTATCGAAGGACAAAGGACCAATGGTGGAATACTGGATCAGTGAAAGCCAACAAGCATATTTTTCCATTAAAAGTAAAAGCTGCTTAATATTGGTTTTGAGTTTATTTTAAAGGAACATCAATCGAATAAATATCATGAGACCAGCGAGTGACGTATCTCGATGTTGTTACCTGATTGGTCCATTTTCTGGTTTTACCGGCCACAATGTTACGTTAAAGCTATCTTGTGGAAGATCAACGGGTTTTCCTTCTGGCTGCACTGGAACTATACATAAACGTTAATCAAACAATTAATAAAAATATGTTCAATATATATCATGTCCAATTTTGGGGTTTTTATTCTTTCAACATCCTGCGCCAATATCAAGAAAAAAGAGTTGGAAAAAGCGTGAATTTCATTGGCCAATATCACCCAGTGCGTCTACACTTCGGAGTGTTGCGCAGCGTAGCATAGGTTCAGGATCGAATCACAGTCAGGATTCAATGTTCTAGTAGAAACGCTTTGACCCGTGACCACGTATCTTCTCGTATCTTTAGTGTCTGAGTACGCAAATTTAGACGCGAGATCTAGTGGCCTTCTCGAGGCTGCGCAGAAAACTGGTAACAAGTAGAACGCGCGCAGAGTCATGGGGATGCTTTAGGGGACACCAATCGGAAAGGCAATGAGCTATTCCGAGGTTGAGTAAAAGACAGAGTCGAGTTGGAATCGCAGTGCGTTTTGGGACTGTTTTAATCGACGAAATAGCCACCATCTTGAAAACATGTCCCCTAAAGCAGTTCCACCATGTACTGCAGTGCCAACACAACCCCGTCTCTTGCTCAACTTCGGAATGGCTAATACATTTTTGCACTCTTTATCTGATTGATAACTAAATAAATTCGATGTATGTCACTTAGGAGAGTGCTGGCATATAAAGGAACGACATCTACTTCTCGTAGTCTAACAACACGTACCGTCCACATCAGTGCTAACTGAAGTTGAAACACTTTTGTTGCTTTCGCCGCATTCTGTGATGGATATTACCCAGAATTCATAACTCGTGCCGGGTTGAAGATTTTGGAAGTTTTTATTATTTGCTTGTTCTCCTTTCTGTTCAAATTCCTTAGAAACGTTTCCCCAGTTTTTCCAGTATGGTTTGAAGCCTTTCATGATGATCTACCGAAAAATTGATTTCGGTCACGTTAACATTATTCACTATGTTGGATGACAAGCTATGTAAAAAGACGATGGCTGAATGAAACAAAAACGTTTTATAATATTGAGGTCACGTTAGCATTATCCGCCATGTTGGATGATAATTTATGCAACAAGACGACGCGTGAATGAAACAAAAACGTTTTATAATATTGAGGTCGCGTTAGCATTATCCGCCATGTTGGATGACAAGCTATGTAAAAAGACGACGCGTGAATGAAACAAAAAGTTTTATAATATTGAAGTCACGTGAACAATATCCGCCATGTTGCCCCTACAAAATGGTGGATAGTAATCACTTGAAATAAGGACATATGCGTCTATTTGTGTGTGGAGGATACCTTGTATTTTCTAATCTCTCGTGATACTCCACGGGGTTTGTCCCACTTCAGTTCAATTGTTCTTTTCCCTTTTCCCGCTGGCCGTACATTCAAAGGTTCTCCAGGCTCTGTTGAAGAGAAGAGACAGAAAAGCTGTATACGTTGTCATCAAAAATAAAAAAATAACATTATAGCAAATAAAATCAATCTTAACCTTCTTATTATCTTTATTTCTATAGCCTTCTAAGCTAATGTCATTTATACCTCGTTATTACCACTTACGTGATGTCACAATAAGCACAGTACTGTTGGGTCCAGGACCAGCCTTAGTAAACCCTTTCACATACACGGTATATTGCGCACACAATCTCAACTTGTATATCGTGTACTGGGAATCCTGTGTTGACGCTGTGACAGACGGACTAAGTGATCTTCGCCTTCGATTTCCAATGCTCATCAGTTGCCATGTTACTTCATACTTAGTGACGACGCCATTACTCTGGTCTCTAGGCAACGGTTGCCAGGCGATGCTAAAGGTTGTCTTATTCAATTTTATTGATCGTGTATTTCTTGGTGCGATTGCGGGCGCTGTAAAATAAATTGTATCACCAAGGATTGCGATTCAATRYGTTGTTTATAATACCTRTTCAATGCTCGTAAAACAATTCTCAGGGATGGAAGTAATGGTTTGTTTGCAATTTCTTATTCTTATTTCTATTTTGATATTAAGTTGGCGCCGGATTGCTCAGTTAACTTCAACAAACATTGAGACTATGGAAAAATGCTTCACAACCTCATCAACCTCATTTTCCATAACGTTGATCAGCAACGAGATAGAAAGTTGAGATCTCTGAGGGCCAACAAACTGCAGCTTATCCTCACAGGAGGAACACAGAATGYAAAATTTTAACAAGAGATTTCACCTGTCAGTTTTATCTACCCATAATAATCCTTGTCTGTTTCATTTTTGTTGTTTCTCAGGTGACAAACTTTATTGAGGTAAATCGAAATTAGTATGATGAAGGCCATTGGTAAATGGTGCCAAACGTCTATAGTTATCATAAATTAAAATAAGAGACAAACCAAATATTTTTAATGGTGGGAATCATGATTGCAAATTAAGGTATATATATTTGGTCAACTCTGATATCGTTTCCATGTACTTACGGTAGGAAGGTACATCGCCATTCTTAGAAGCCGTGTAAGGTCCATCCTTAATAGTTGATGCTTTTATCTTAAAGCTGAATTTCGTTTCTCCAGGTACGCTCATTGTGTAAGTCAAAGTGTTAATATCTGTGATGTTGATRTATTTGTAGATTGAGACACCAGTACCAGTGAGACTGTAATAGATAACGTATCGTGTGATGATGCCATTCTCTTCCTGTGGTTTCTCCCAAGTGATACGGACTCGAGGCACACGAATGTTGCTTCCAGGATCCAATAAAAATGCTTTGGGGTTTACTGGATTACTGGGGGCTGAAGAAGAAATCAAGTTTGAAAGACTATTTGATCAGAAAAGCAGACAGACAGACAGACAGACACAGACAGATAGACAGACAGACAGAATGACAGGCAGACAGAATGACAGGCAGAGAGAGAGAGAGAGAGAGAGAGATGTCTTTTATTTAATCTCGGGAAATTTCATCAATGTACAAATTGGTTTTCATGAAAACCGAGTTCATAGGTAATAT